CTGTAGTTCTGTAGGGCTGTAGTTCTGTAGAGCTGTAGTTCTGTGGGGCTGTAGTTCCCTAATCTGTGTTGTTTGTCTGTGTTTTCAGGTTTGAAAACATTGACCCAGAAACTGGAATTGAAACAGCCCGGGAACAGTCTACCAAGAAGGACATCTACCCCATTCACGTTATTCCAGAAAACAAAGATGGCGTTCAGGGCTCTTGTGCCTTTTTCAAAGAGAGGAAAGAAATCACGAAAGTCATCCGCTCCAAGTCCTTCACACCTTTGGTTAATTTGGAGGAAACACTTCAAAGGTTGGTTCACAATGGTGGGAAATGCACGAGTAAATAAAGAGACAAAGGTAGAGAATCATGGGTGGGGGAGTCGGGGGCAGGGGGGGTCATTGTGGATTTGATTTGTAAATGTACACCTTTGCGTATTTTATTGCACAACTTCTTTCAACATTCTTTTGTGTGTCGTCCCCAGATATGGTCGAAAGCTCGTTGTTGTGGCGTCCCAGAATCTACGCTTCCGGACCCTGATTGGTAGTGAGAGCGATCCTGACTTGAAACTAAGTGACGAGTCTTTCTGTTTGTTGGAGAGAGTCGGACGAGCGCGCTGGCAAGGAGAGCTGCAGAGTGAACTACACGGACACTCCTTCAAGTAGATTTACTGCAGTGGCTGATGGGTCTTTTTGGTTCTTATGGTTGGTTGTTCATGGTGTCGTCTTTGTTTTGTTTGTTTTTTTCAGGAGCGATGCTCGTAGGTTGCACTACGTGAGAAAAGCTCTGGTCAAGCACGGACTCATCAGCATGCAGTCCCATGTGATGCGACACGTGTCAGGACAACAGCAACACTCCATTCTTTTGCTGCTAAATCGCTTTCACGTCAACAGGTGTGTTTGGTGTGTCTACAGTCATTGTTTGTGCTCCTCTCCTGCCTGGAGTCTGGACTGACTCTAACGTCCGCTGACGTACAGTAGGTTGAATTCAAATGCCTTTCAGTTTTTAGTTGCACTTAATTGCAGTTAATTGATGACAAGTCTTAGTGACACCTCAAACTATCACTCATTTACTGTTGTCCAATCACATCCATCCGTTTGGCCTCGACTCACTATGTTGTTTCCGTAGTGGAAATTTCAAACTCTGTAATCAAAGTTAACTAAATAGTTTAACCTAACCTGCTTCAAATGAATGATGTGAATGAATGATTTAAATCCTGACAATCTTTTCTGACATTTATTCTCTTTTTTTTAAAATATAAAACAGAATATAGAAATCCACTTAGCGTTCATATTAATGTTGAATCACTGTGTGTCTGTGTCTGTGTCTGTGTCTGTGTCTGTGTGTGCTCATCCAGGAGGAGTAAGTATGACCTGCTGATGGAGCAGGTGTCTCACATCCTGGAGCAGCTGCCCAATCAGTTTGTGTCTGTGCTGGCGATCAAACAAAGGCTGGTGAGCATCTCTCATCTGAGCTGTTTTTTTCTCTGACTTTTTATGCTAACTTAAAGCTTTTCTCACAGAACTTGAGTGAATCCACAAGCAAACGTCTCTTTGGTTACCTGCGTGTTGCAAAGTTTGCTGAGTTTTGTCAAGTCCCCTTAGAAGAAATAGAACCCACTGCTAAACGCTTAGTAAGCAAAAAAGGTAATTAAAAACATTGATGACATAAATATCACAATGACAAACTGTGCTGTAGACAATTGAGGCAGATTTTCTCTTTCCAGGGAATGCATTGCGTGTTCGCTGTTTGAAACTGTTGAAGCCTTATTCCAAGAAGAGCGTTCCTGAACAGGATGACGATGATGATGAGGAGGAAGAGGATTACTCTGCAACAGGAAAGAGAGCTTTTCCTTCAGAGGGCCGAGTCATGGAGAGGGATGTTCTGTCACAGGCCTATCACTGTGGTACGTCGACACCATCTGAAAACAAAAATGAAACAAAGTGATGATGATGATACATGTGGCAGGTTTGAAAGACATGGCTCTGAAGTTGGTTTTAAGTTTAAAGACTGACATTAGTCAAACCATTCCAAGCCTTGTGTCTACATCTACTGTGATTCTAACCTTCAATAAATCTGGACGTCCCTGTCCCTGGTTTCTTGCAGTCGCGGCCTGTGGCACAAAGGGAATCCCGCAGTCGGACATTGGATACAGAATGAATGTTGGAAAACTGGAGGCTCGGATGTTCTGCCGACGGCTAGAACGGGACGGTTTAATTAAGGTAACAATGATGTGACCTTGTCATCTATTGATTATATTATCAGAGTTAAATGTTATGATGTCATGCTGATGTGTTGGTCTCTGCAGGGATTCATGGTGGATGAGGGTCGACAGAGGACGACAAAATTCATCACTCACAAGTGTGTAGCTAATTAAGATTCTCACGTTATCACGTGACATGGATTAAAAGCAGTATGTTCTGGGTTCACTTCTCTTTACAGGTGTGTGGGTTTGAGTGATCAGCTTCAGCTCTTTGTGAAGGAGCAGGAACTCAACAAACAACTGACTTCCTCTGCACCTCAGAAATCAGAAACAACGGCGGTCAACCCCAGGGCAGCTCAGGCAGGAAAGGTAAAAAACAAAGGTCCTCCAGCCCAGAAAAGTCAGAACCTGAGTGGACCTGGACCTGGACCTGGAGCTGGACCTGGACATGGAAAAGGAAGAGGTAGCGGTAGAGGAAAAGGAAGAGGTAGCTGTAGAGGTAGAGGAAGAGGAAAAGGAAGAGGAAGAAAGAGCAAAGATGATAAGGCAGCCTTGTTGCCTTGTGGTGACCAGGAAGTGAAAATGGAAGATGGTGTTTTGGAGGAAGAAAGAGAGAAATCAGCAGAGGAAACAGGAAGTGTGACACAAACACAGCTTGGCACCCAGGATGGTCAACTGACAGTAGCTGAGAGTGAGCGTCATATTAATGTATTTCTGTATATATATACATATATATACTGGATATGTGTGCGTTTCTTACTATCTAACAGTTTGTGTTTGTTTGATCTAAAACAGGTGGCGCTCCACCCTGCAGTCAAACACAGAGCAGGTCGACAGGTAACAATAAGTTGAGACTCAGATGTTAAAGAAACACAGAGATTTAAAATCCACAGCTGGACACTGGAAGATCAGGCACCAGCAGTAAAAGTTCCTGGTGCAGTTCCATTAACATACAACAAACAGAGATAAAGTATGAAAAGTGGAATTACTGCCACAAATAGTAATCTGAAGTAAATACAGTAGTGAGTTGAACAGAGTTGAACAGAAGATTAACCTTTTTTTTAAAGTAAGAAACTTTGGTTTTTGCTGTTCACTAAAATAATAGCAGCCAGCAACATAAAATACCAGTGAGGAGGCATATACTGAATATATGCTGGTGCTGACACGTCACGGTTTGCAGTCAGCACACAGTGACTAAACTAGGATTCATTTTTATTGATAAATCCCATAATGTTTTACTTTGTGTCCCTGATGGCAGCCATATCAACAATAAGTGACCTCACCTGGTGGTCTGTGGGCGCTCAGACAGCTGTCTGATGCTGATTTGACATCATAGTCTTATTAACTGGCCTGATGCCCATTTGGAGCCTTTCAAGTTGAAATCAAGGTTTAATTTTTATCTTCAATAATTCAGTAATGAGTGGCGCTTTGGTCCAGAGGCAATGTCTCTGTCATTGGTGTGGAACCCCAGGGTTCTCCTCCTGGGCAAGTTCGAATCCCGGTTAGGGCGGTTGGTACCTTCCAGTGGACTCACCCCCCGCAGGAAGGTTTGGGGGGGGGTTGGTACGGTGCAATGTGATTTGGGTGGCGACTGCTGCCCCCGCGACCCGGTAACGGATAAGTGAATGAAAATGGATGGATGGATGGAATTCAGTAATGTGCTGGACACGGTTGTCTGTTCATTTACGTTTTTCAGCGCTAACTGCAAATGAGGTGAATGAGCGATCTGACCGAACCCCCCCCGGTCCCTCTACACCTATGTCTCCATCTGTGGCCACGAACAACAGGGAACAAGAAATCAACATTGTTGTTTTACGTGAAGAACTTCAACAGAAGGTCAGAGAAGTGAAGTGAAGCTCATTTCCCATACTGCTTTGTGCTTTGGTGGTTTTTCTCCTTGTTCTGCTTCTCTTTCTTCTTCTCTTACAACTAATATAGTATTAAATGGTATTATTCATCACGTGTACACAGACATACCTCAGTCAGCTTAGTTCATGTACTTACTCTTCAGTATTAATGACACGTCTGCACTAACCTCACGGATCAGTGTATTTAAACTGTTCATAGCACCCTCTACAGGAGAGGAAACCATATGAACGTTAATCAGTGAATTACATGTCATTGTGACGTAATTCAGCAGTTTAAGCTCAAAGTCAGCAGGGGGCAGTGTGTGGGGTCGGTGCCATACTCAGTGTACCTCAGTTGTAACTGGGCAGCTTGTGGATTCAAACCTGAAACCTTCCAGACGAACTCTGCTTCCTTAACCATCGACCACCACTGCCCTCTTGTGTTTGTTCTTGAACAAGGCTGCAGATTTAAGTAGAAATTTATTAAGAAGAAAATTGAATAAATCAGCAGTTTGTTGTAAGCAGACATGGTAATAACCAGGTCAACCGTAGTAGTAATTCTAGATGAATGAACCATATTCACGACATGATCCTTCGGCAGGGAACACGAAGGTCCAAATGTAACGACTCTGAAATGAGGTCTCATGAGACGTACCGTTTGTTGAGGAGGAAAAACCTGATCGTTGAAGCTATTCGCAACTCCAAGATCATGGAGGGCTACTACCCGTGAGTTTGATTTTCTCCACCTAAGGAGATGTGGAGACAACCCTGTCAACATGCTCCTGTTTTTCAGGCTGCAGAAGATGATCAACGCCAGAGAAAAGCAGGACGGCGTTAACTCCAAGTGTTGTAAGAAAACCATCGTACGTCTTGTTCACAGTCTGTCCAGAGAAGGTCTGCTGAAGATGTACACAACCACCATCATACAGGATGGAATCACCAAGCAGGTGAGCTCACGGGGACTCCAGCTGCTGTTCCCCCTTGACTCCACTGATGTGGCTCTGCTGTTCCTCTGTGTGCAGGTGGACATGATCGTCCATCCGTCTGTGCAGCCCAATGATGACATTGTGCACAGACTTATTGAGCAGATTCGCTTCAAAATCTCCAGCTCCTACACAGTGCTACGGTGAGCTCCAGCCCAGAATGTTTTCATCACGCTCGCTTCTAGGATTTTAATGCTTTTTCTTGGGTTTTAATCCTCGGCCAATCCCCTCTGCTCTTCTTCAGTAAACAGCAGGCGGAAGAAAATCGCAGACAACAGCTGAAGGGGAACGATGAAGTGGGACGACTTTCCAAAGGAGGAGAGAAGAGCAAGACTGGGAAAAAGGAAAGGAGCAAAACTGATGACTTCAAGCCCATTCCAGGTCACTACTACTACTACTACTACTACTACTACAAGTACTACTACTATTATAAGTAGAAAAAAAAAATTTGCTGACTTGACTAACTGACCCCACTGCCAAAAAACCCCAGAGAACGTACTGGAACACTTGAGGCGAGACGTGACCAAAGGTTACAGTTGTACTTTTGTCAGATCTGACTTGACAAAAGTACAGCTGAGATTGAAGACTGAAGGACTCACTAGTTTGTTAGGCTACGTTAACCTTCAGTCAGACTCTGATCGGATCTTTCTCTTGTTTCTACTGGTCCGCGTCCTGGGAGTCAACAGAACGAGGATTTGGTAAAAGCTGGGGCTACCAGCCCAAGATGCATCGTTTACGTGTCACTCACAGCTTCCTGTGGTACCTGATCTACGGACACCCAAACAAACTGGAGTGCTCTGACACTGACGCCGACTCCGAACCACTCACGCACCTACACAGTTGTGATGATGTGGTTAAAACCCCGGGGCATGGTGAAGTGCAGGATCCCAGGAGCCCAGATGTGACAACGCTCGTCTGTGAAACCGCTGAATCTAACGGGTCCAAAACGGATCTGAACACAACTGATGCTGAGGAGGGAACACAGGAGGATCCAGCTACTGGTCCCCCACAGCCTGGGGTCAAAGGTGAGAATTTGATCTGGATTTTAGGACAGTATTAACTCCTATATTTTTTTTGTTCATTTGTTTTATTTCTACATTAAATTCCACGTCTTTGTCACCCAGTTAATAACAACGAGGAATCGTGGAAGAGCTTTATTCCTCCTGTGCGCGTACGTAAAGGCTACGGCAGCGGCTGGGCCATGTTGGCCGACGTGCTGCTCTGTCTGCCTCTGTCTGTCTTTGTCCAGGTCATACAGATCACCTACAAGGTGAGAAAACTTTCTTCCACCTTTGAATTTATGCAGTGTTTAGTCGGTTGTTGCTAAAGAACACATTGTAATTCCTCAGTAGTCTACGTCAGTCTGTGGTGGTGGTGGTGGTGGTGGTGGTGGTGGTCTCTCTGTCTTTGTCATCTGCTCATCATCATTTCCTCTCACTTGACTCCACTACAGTGTGAACCAACTATATTTGAGCGAGGGTCAGTGTAAATAAAGTCATAAATGGAGAGGATTACTGGTCACTACTTCAGTCTTGGTCTTGGTGACCACACCATGTTCAATCCTCACAATTTTCTAATCCAGTTGTGGGCCGCTTGGGCCGGATTTGGACCACGGGCCACTAGTTGATGATCACTATCTCTTTTCTGTGAAGTTATTAGTTCTCAGCATTTACTTAGCAGACATGTGGGAAATGTTATGTGTCTTTCCTCAGTATTTGTGTGTCAACAGGTTGAAGGTCTGGGAGAATATCTGAACGACCCTGTGAAGCAGCACTTCCTGATCAGAGTCCTGCCCTCCAGACTCAGGAGGCAGCTGCTCTACAAACGGTGACTGTCTCACTTTTTGTCAAACTATGTTTCAGGTTGCTTGCTCAAGTTCAATGTTTCCTTTATATTTCAGGAAGTATCTGTTCTCCTTTTATGAGAACCTGCAGAAGTTGGTCTACATGGGACTGCTGCAGTTTGGTCCTGTGGAAAAATTCAAGGAGAAAGACCAGGTACTGTAGCCACACCCACTAAAACAATAACCTCAAATCATTTAGTTTTCACTGGTTTCCAAACCTGTGCCGTGTCCATCTGTAAATATATCTATTGTTGAGTCCCCCCCCCCGCCCAAGTCCTTACACTCACAGCAAATGCTGCTTAAAAAGTCAAATAATGTGGAAAATATTCAAATGACTTATTTGACCAGCTGCATCTAGCTCCATGGCCCCCTAGACCCCCCCCACTCTCTGCTGTATATGTGTGTGTTCAAAAATGTCTCACTGATGCAGGTGTTCATTTGTCTGAGACGAAACGCCTCCATCATCGACACCACCAGCTCTGAGCCTCACTACTGGCTGGTCACAGAGTCGGAGGACAAACCGTTTGAAACGCGCAGGTACACGTTCAATACGTCCGATGATGTAGAAAACTACTGGTTTGACCTGATGTGTGTGTGCCTGAACACACCGCTGGGAGTAATCCGCTCCAAGAGAAAATACTCCGACCACGACTCGGCTCCATCCTTTGTCCCTGATCGCCACGTGTTCGTGGGATTGGCTTACCTGCTGAAGTAAGAGCTGCGTGACATCAAAGGTCAAAGTTCAGGTCATGACTTTTATTGTAAAAAATTTTAATACAAGCACAAATGTAATTGCTACACAAACAGGGGCAGCCGAGAAGTTTGTGACGATGGCGCCATACCAGGAGACCATAGAGGAGCGGGGGGGCTACACTCAGAGTTCTTCGCTCATCTTAAACGCAACTGGTTGTGGACTAGTCACCTTCTGTCCAACAAAGCAGTGTGTAAAAACCAAACACAACCAGCTGCGTGATGACATGACAAGTGTAGTGATGTTGGATGTCCTTCTGTCTTAGAGCCAGTATTCAGCCAGGATGAAGGAGGAGAAAGTCCGGCTCAAGAGTCTGCTCAGTAAAAATGCTCTCAGATTTGCCTTCACAGCTGGTGAGGAGCTTTGACCCCATATGACCTTTCACCTGATTTCACTTTAGCACGTTAAACTTTCATGATGTTTTAGCTACCGATTGTAGTTAAAGTTAAATTTAATTTCTCCACGCACTCAACAAGAGAGATGTGCTGAAAATTATTATCTAATTTATCAAACTCCCCTTACCTACTGTTTAGATTTTTTGGCCCAGTTCCTGATTGGTTAATGTCTATCCTAACATGTTTAAATGAATGAAACAACTGCTCTCCACTAGGAGCTTCGACCACACCACGCTGTGTGACCTCCAAGCTCTCACTGGCAACAGAAAATATCCAGGTACTAACTGGGGGGTGGGGGTGGGGTGGGTTAAATGACAGGCATGGGAACCTGTGCCACATGATTGAATGGTGTCGTGTTGTTGCTGTCTGTTTGTGAACCAGGTGAGGGTCGAAACTGCGTCCAGAAACAAGCAGGTCGTGGGCGGAAAAAAACAAAAAAGGAAAAGAAGCAAAAAGGAGGTTGTTCTTGTCCCACGCAAGAAAAAGAAAGGTGATGAAGCAGAGAAGGAGGATTCTGAGGACGAAACAACAAGATGAATGATTTTGACTTGATGTTGTCTGAAAGAACCCAGGAAACGCCCTCCTGCCCATGATGAGGTGGACCACCAGGCTCTAAAAATGATGACCCGCCAAAGGGTCTACTGGACCATACAGGAGGACTCCATGTTGATGCTCTGCAGTGTGGCCACACGTCTGATCAACAGCAAGGTTTGGTAGACACACACACACACACAGGTTTAAAACGTGCAACCAAAATGGCACCACAAACCATCAGTTTGTTGGAGACCAGATCAGACTCAGTTCCAGTTTCTGACCTCATCTGTCCAACGGTGACGTCGTGTTGTTGTTGTTGTTGTTGTTGTTCAGCTGAAGAGGCCTTTCGTACCGTACTGCATCGTCAGAGACCTGCTCCATGCAGAGTTTGAAATGTCAAATGACAAAACATCCGTGGCCGTCGGGAGACGCACGCGGTACATCCTGAAGAATCCTCAGACGCTCCTGAACTACAGGTAGGTTCACAGTGACAGTAGTGAAACAGCGCCTCTGTGTGTGTGACATGGCTCTCACCCTGAGCCTGTGGTGCAGGGTCTGTCTGGCTGAGGTCTACCAGGACAAAGACCTGCTCCGTCAGTTGGATGAGAACAAACCTCAGGATCCCAATAAAGCAGAGGTGCCGACCTGTGTGCTTGTTGTTCATGTTTTTCTCCCTTTTGATTCAACACTTGTTAGTGACTTCTTTGTGTGTTTTTCCTAGGATTGTGCCACGGCGTTCTCTGCGTACGCCAAGCTTCTCAGGCAGAAGTTCAGTTCTGTCATCGGCAGTTGTGACGTCATCATCCCTGACACAAAGCGTGAGCTGTTCTCCCGGTAAGAGGAGGTTTGGTGTTGATGATGAAGACAAATCAAGGTTCGGTGTAACAGAATGTGTGTGTGTGTGTGTGTGTGTGTGTGTGTGTGTGTGTGTCTGTCATTGCAGGTTCAAAGTCTCTGCCATAGAGTGTAAAAAGCTTGTGTTGGGTTCAGATGTGATTAACAGGTAATAATTCAGTCCTAGCTTTAATTCATTGGATGAATTCATGTTGTTGTGATGAAACTTCACTGTTGAACTTGTTGTTACAGCACAGAGGACATTCACACCATAGTGTTGCATAACTTGATTCAGAGCACGCTGGCCATGACCAACAGTCAGATGCAACTGTGCAGATCGTTTCAGGTTTGTTTCATTATGGCTGTGCACAGAAAAATGTTTGGGTTTATTACCTCATTACAACGAGGATGAAGAAGAGGATGAAGGCTGACACGTAGCATAGGCTAGCACAGGGATAGCTGCCTTCACGTGCTCTCTAGACCTACGTGGTCTTGGTGGTGTTTATAGTTTTTCTCAGCATCTCACAGTCACTGAATCAGCTGATCTTCTGCTCCCATAATGCAGCAGCTTAAGTATCGGTAAAGCCACTGTGGAAGTCCAGAGGATAAAAAGATATTTTAAAAAGAATGATTGATCTTTTCTGACAGGAGTGATGACAGCGTCACTGTTGTGTCTGTTTGACTACAGTCGGTGTCTTTCTCTCCTCTAGACGTTCCACATGTACAGTAAGTACAACCAGGATTTGCTTTGCCATGTTTTCCTCGAGTGCAGACACAGGGGTCTGGTCAACCGTCGGCGCATCAACATGCCAAATGGACCGAAGAAGAACCGGGGGCTGCCCATCCTCCCCATGTCCTACCAGATGTCCCAGTCCTACTACAAGTATGGAGAATGTCTGTCCTTAAAAAAAGTCTTCATCTCTTCGGAGTCTTCTCTTTAGTTGACTCTCTGTCCTCTGCAGGTGCTTCACGTGGCGCTTCCCTCGCTCACTGTGTTCGGATTCTTTCCGCCTGTTAAAGAACCTTATGGACATCGGTAAGGGAGACACGCAGCCCGTCCTTACATTTTACAATGAAACTGAAAAAAGGTCGGCCAGTGGAGAGGAGGAGGTGAGGAGACCAAAGAATAAGCAGCAACGAGAAGAGAATGTTGATGGAGCAGCAGCACGTGACCCAGACGTACGTCCAGAAGAGGCCGCCGCGGCTGCAAAACGCGGGGAGGAAGGAGACGTAGATGTGGACGGTGAGGTGGACAAAGATGAAGGCGGCCATCGTAGGAAGATGGACGAAAACCAGACAGAGACAGTTTCCAGAGAAGGTCTGTCAGGAGAAGACAAAGACTCAAAGACAGAAGAGGCTTTTTCTCAGAACCTTCCAGATCTGTTGGACATGATGTTGAGGTTTCCAACAGAAGCTCCAGGAGGATTCTGCATGGCTGCTGTCAGCTTGATGTCTGTGGGACTGCTCAACGTCTACTTGTCCATTCCCAAACAGATGGTGGTAGTGGACAGCAACCTGGTGGACAAGGACCTGGTCAAAAGGTGACAGTGAAATGATTAGATCTTTTTAAAACATGATTCTTTGATGCAGGGGTTGAATCACAAAGACTCCTTATTTTTAGTAGTGAATCAGAGAAAGATTGACGATGATGAAGATGGAGAACTTTAATCCAAAGATTCAAACCTGACCAGTAGAAGTGCAGACGTCCACTAACTACTATAGATAAACCCTCTCATGTTTCCTGTTCTTATGTACGTTTGAAGCCGTGTGAATAACTACAACAGAAAATGGTATTTAAATATTTTATTGACCAAAATGTGTTTTTCTTCTAATTCCTATTATTGATCCATTTGGAAAAGAGTCCAAACTATTGGAATGGTTGTTTGTTTGTTGATAATCAGTGTTGTTTTCCAGCATGACGCTGTTGGAGGATGATGAAGATGAAGATGATGACAACGGCGAGGAGTGTGAAGGCCAGAAGAAACCAGAAATCAATGCTCAGCAGGCGTCACATACCAAATACCTGATGATGAAGGGATACTGCTGCCCTGGCATTGGTACAGTACTACGACTGCAGTACTACTTCAGTTCCTGAACGTTGAATTGACCTCAAATATTGGTTTTGTTCATTGATTTGCAGTAAAAATACGCAACCTCAACACCAGCGACAACATCGTGGTGGAGTCGTGCAACATAAGGTTACAGCTGCGAAAAACGGCCGCTCACCGACTGTTCACCGTGGAGAGTGAGTGTCCACACACACACACACACACACACACACACTCTCTCTCTAACATTTAACATCAGGTTGTTGAACCACAGCGCCCCCTGATGTTTCTTCTGACAGACTCTGCACCACTGGACCTCACAAAGTGCGGCCCGTCCCTGCTTCCGTCCTCCCTCACATGTTCAGTCAGCCTCTCCTCCCCCCCACAAAGCGTGGAGGAGAGTGTGGAGCAGAAAGGATACACTCCCCAGGACACGGAGGCCTGTGCTCAGATCAGGAGGAGCCTGGATGAAGCTGCTCAGAGAGGCCTGTCTGTGGGGGAGCTGTACCAGAGCCACGCCCACCTGGAGCAGCCACAGTGTGGACGCAGCAGGAGCTTAGAGCAGTACCTGAAGGTAAACCAGCTGGTTTATTAACTTAGTTAGTGCATTACTGTCTGTCCACTTCTTTTTATTCACTGTATTATTACATTATTATTACCTTAGTCCAGTGGCTCTCAGGTATTTTCTGTCATGTCTCCCCCTTGGGGACAGAAATGGTTGAGAAGTACTGCCTTAGGCTGTGAGCTTCTAACTTTAGTTTTGGAGACAAAGTTTCAGATGTGGTCGTATTAGTTCTCATTTTATTAGGGCTAGATACAGATCTTGGGAAATTAAATCTGCGTGGCGTAAATCTGTTGTTGTCTGCACCAAAACTCACAAAGTGAACCTTAAAACGCATTTGACGTTCTCTTCTTCTGCTGTAGGACTTGCAAGAAGTGAGACAGGTGTTAAAAGTTGGGGCTCTGGGCATCAGGTACGTCCTGGTTCAGCACGCTGAGCCGTGGCTGCTGTCTGTTGGCTCCAAGTCTTCCTCCAAGCCACGATTTTCACCTGACGGACTGCCTTTTCTGGTGAAGAAGCGGAGGAGAGAGAACTTACAAAAGACAGAGGAGCCGCCTTTCAAAAGAGCCGCTACTGAGGTAGACAAGGGTCCAGACGGACTGAAGGTTCCAGAGAAGTCGGGAGATGTTCCAGGCAAGGAAGGAATGGAAAAGGACAAGTATTTGAACCAAGAGGAGAAGAATAAGAAGGAAGGAGAGTCTGGACAGGAGAAGAGGACAAGACAGGAGGAAACAGAGCACGAGGAAGTGGGAGAGATCCTGGCTGGTCACAGAGGAAGGAGACAGAGGACCAGAACCAGGAAAACCAGTGATGTTGATGAGGCTGAGTCTCCCCCTGCTGGTTCATTTGACATGGAGTGAGTAAAGACACTTTATGGAATGGTCTTCTACTTTTTTCAGTACCATCTCATCAACGTTCAAACTGAATTCCCCACAGCGACGATGTGAGTTTCATCAGCCGCCCGTGGCGTCTGGTGGATGGAAAACTGAACAAGATGGTGTGTAAGGGCATGATGGAGGCAGTCCTGTATCACATCATGTCCCAACCTGGTGTCACTCAGCAGTCACTGATGGAGCATTACAGGAATGTGCTGCAACCCGTGGCTCTGCTGGATCTAGTGGAGGTAAATGGATATTATTTGGCTCTTCAGGTGCAGCTGCAAAGACCAGGTGAACATTCAGCTGCGGGGCTTCAGCTAAGAACAGTTAGCTAATTCAGCTATAATTAGCTTCATTCAGCTAATGAAGAAGAAGTGATGAAGAGTTTTGAGTGCTGTGAGACATTATCCAATTTTACTTAATTGCTCTGAAAACTAGTATTTATTTACCGCAAAGAATTTAAGCACTTCCAGCCCTGCCTCCATTCGTCCGACATCCTCTCTCTCTCTCTCTCTCCCTCCCCCCCCCTCTCCTTCTCCCCCTCCCTCTGTGTCTCTCTGTCCTACAGGCTCTCATAGAGATGGGGTGTGTGACCAGAAGAACTTTAGTGAAAACGCCTCGACCGTCACTCTTTGGCCGCGGTGTGACCCAGAACAGACTTGTGGACACTCAGATGGTGGAGGATCCAGAGACGGTGTTTTACGAGCCCACCATCAGCTGCTGCCTGCAGCTCTGCCGCGCTCTGCCCAACGAACGATGTTGGAACGAATTTGTGCCTTGAAGGCATCGTTTCCTCACGAGAGGAGGAAAAGAGTAGAGAGAGAGAAATCACGGATGAACAAATGCAGAATTACATTTAATTACTTTTTGACTGTTTTGTTTCTTAAATAATGTACAATAATAATTGGATCAGGTCTTAAACTTTGTATTTGTTATGAATCATGTTTACTTTTATTAGACAAATAAAAGTCCTGCAGCTGAGCTGACATGTTTACAGTACTGACTACTAATCCAAGGTAGAGTCAGGATTGTTGGTCGCCCTGACAACGCTCCCATCACACCAGTCACTGGTCACCGTTCAGTTTTTTTCTTTCATTTTCCACTTTAGACAGAGCAGTGAGTTCATCACTGATCTTCAGCGCTATGTACTTTATATACTGCAGTATTTATTTTATGTACATACTGCAGTATATATTCTATGTACTGCAGTACTAAAGGATCTACTTCTAACTCAGGATGTGGATGAATAGGTTATTGAAGTAATTATCTGCCGTCGTGAATGGACCGTGTTGAATGTATTAGTGTGTATATTGTGTATACTGTGTATACCGTGTATACTGTGTATACTGTGTACTGTATTTTAATGTACAGTAGCTAACAGTAGAGTCAGTGCAGTAACCAGAGTGAGTTTTCCACTGGTAATCACTGTTAGTATCAGACCATGAAGACAAACCAGTGACAGGCTGACCACTAGGTGTCACTGTTACATCGTAACCATTGGGCTCTAACTGTATTTACACACATAAACAATCTGGCGTTTTAGCGTTTTGGCCCAGAGGTAATGTCTCTGTCAGTGGTGTGGAACGCCAGGGTTCACCTCCTGGGTTAGATCGAATCCCAGTTAGGGCGGTTGTCTCCTTCCAGTGGACTCATCACCCGTAGGAAGGTTCTGGTACGGTGCAGTGTGATTTGGGTGGCGGTCGTGGAGACTGTTCCCTCAGTGACCTGGTAACGGATAAGCGGTGGAAAATGGATGGATGGATGGATGGATGGATGGATGGGTACACACATATCCGTATATACAGTATATATAATTCTGAACACTGCCCCCTAGTTGGTGTAAATGTGTATATATGTTGATGCATGTTGACGTATAAGCTTCAGAAGATGAACATGTGGAGAAACAGCTTTGACATTTTCCTCATTTTTTCCCAGTTTGTCTTTGAATTGTGCTTGTTGACTACATTCTCTAATTCTCTGTACCGATGGAGGACAGGGTGAGGATTAATGCAGTTTGAAAGTCTTTGTTACTTAGATGAAGATAATTTCCAAACAAACCACAAAAGTATGTCAGAAAGAGAAATCTGACGTCTGAGTGACTCGGTGATTTAGTAAATCCACGTTTTTTCCCAGTTGTTGACTTCTTCTCCTCTGGATGTTTGTGTCCTCAGGTGTCCTCTGCCTGTTGTCCTCACAGCCTCCGTCTTTTGGTCCAACTCTTGAATCAGCTGTTTCAGTGCTGGATGCTAACTCTGCAGATCAATGGCCCTGTGTGTCTGCGAGGCAAACTGCTCCTATTAGCATCAGCTATTAGCATCACGCCATCAATAGCATTGATCAAGCAGCTCTGGCTCCAGAATAGAAAGAAGAAAAAAAATCTGATGCTGCACAACAAATTGATGTTTGTTTGTTTTTTTCTTCAATTGTTAAAACATCACAGTTGCTGAAATACTTTGACAGATAAATATTTCGTCATTTTTTGTGACTTTGTAAGAGCCTGAAAAATATATGGTATGTTGTTGTTTTTCTAAAAATATTACATTAATGTGTGACTTTACGCACGCAGGCTGCATTTATTATAAAAATTTAACAATGTTCTCTTCAAATATACCAAACCTGAAAGAGTCATTACGTCATTGATCCTGCAGGAGGCAGTAGCTTGCTGAAGTTCTGACACTAAAGAGGAGCCATACCCACAGCAAGAGAATGAATTTTCCCTTCCTGACCACCGCCTGTCTCTGGGTCAGTGTGCATGGAAGGCCCCTGGAGGTCGAGGCTGCCCCCCCCCCCGAGGTCGAGGCTCCCCCCCGAGGTCGAGGCTCCCCCTGGAGGTCGAGACTCCCCCTGGAGAGGTCACAGATTTCTCTTTGTATCATCAGGAAATACAATGATCTTTATTTTACTGTTGAACTTCTTCTACTTTAAAGTCATGATGTCTTCAAATGTAAAAAGTTCATAGTGTTTGACTTACAGGAAGACGATTTCTGCCCCCACCTTCACGGTGGTTCGTCTCTCCATCCAAACAGGAGCAGGTGGCGAATGGAAGCAGCACAGGGTTTTGATTAGGTACAGACTTTGGGGACAGAGAAAAGTCACTTACCAAATGAGTCAACTCCTGGGTCGTGGCATAAAAATGGAACGCATTTGTGGGTGTGATTGGCTGCTGTGATTGGCTGCAGCTCTCTCACCCCCCTGTCAATCATGAGTGAAGCACATGTTTGTTCACATTAGTTTGCTTCCTGATGGTCACGTATTTATTTGCAGCTGCAGATCTTCTTCTTCTTCTTCTTCTGCTTCTTCTTCTTCTTCTTCTTCCCCTTCTTCACCTTCTTCTCCTTCTTCTTCTTCTTCTTCTTCCCCTTCTTCACCTTCTTCTCCTTCTTCTTCTTCACCTTCTTCACCTTCACCACCTTCACCTTCTTCACCTTCTTCTTCACCTTCTTCTTCTTCACCCTCTTCTTCTTCTTCTTCACCTTCTTCACCTTCTTCTTCACCTTCTTCACCTTCACAGAAGCACAGACACTTCATGTTGTATAAAATGCTACTGTGTGTCAAAAGAGGTAAAACCTAAGGCTCTCGTTTCTCCATCGCGTGCGTGCGTGTGTGTCCCTTGTGAGTCTCTTCCTGGTTAATACGATAGATGAGATATTTTAAGAACTTCATGGTCATCGTCCACTGCTGGCCTCCACTGTGGTGTCAGCAGACTGTCTTCCTGTGGCAGTTTTGCCAAAAGGTGATGGATGTCCGAGGCCACCTCTGGGGGCATTTCTGAAAACACTTCAGACTCAGTCAGCAGGCAGAAGAGAAAACAGAAGATTTCCTTCTCATTTTTACGGCCTCAGCTTGTATTATTTCAGCTGACTTTCCCTCGTCGTCTTCTCTTCTTCGTCTGCAGTCAACAAATCTTTTATCCACTGTCTGAAGTCTTTTCTTTGTCACTATGTGATATTCAGCCAAGTGCACGTGTGTTGGCCGTGCACAGTATATGACAGTAGCTGTGCTACAGTCACTGCACTGGTCACTGCAGTTTGAAGTGGGTTTCCTTTGACCTATCATTCTGTCAGATGATGATGATTTATTTGACCTTTTTAACACACATACATTCTTTGTCATCATAGAGGAATATCACATAGAATAGAAATGCACAGCCTTAACAAGATTATTGTCCAAACGATGATTTTTAATCTGGACGCTGTCAGCATGTAGCTGAGGGAGGTTGGTCATATATTTTTGAATATGGTAATTCACACCTGAATATAAGCCCCACCCACTAAATTTAAAAAGAAAAAATAATTGTACATACATAGGCCTCACTTGTCTATAAACCACAGGTGTCCATGTTATAACACGGGATATTCACACAGAAAGAACACTTTTTCTTTTTACTTTTAATTAAAGAAATGCTTTTTATTTTCCCAAACAGTGCCTGTAACATGGCTGGTTACGCGTTAGCTCTTTCCTGCTTCGGTGCCCCGACCGTACTTTAAGCCACAGGGTTAAAAGCGTGTGAAAAAAGAAGCAGCTTATAGTCTGGAAATCACGCTAATTGTTTATAGAATTCTATGTGAAATATAAATATGTTTGAGTAAAACCCAGCAGATGATAAACTGCAGCTCCAAGTCCAACCTCCAGAGGTCACTGCTCACATTCAGAGGTGTCCTCCTGATACTTGAGTGTGTGTGATTATTCAGGGAGGGGTGGTCAGCGAGCTGGGTCAAAATGCTGTGGAGGTACTTTCTGAGTTTCACTGATCGATAGCTGCTTTAAATAGGAACAGGAACATCTGTGCACAGCATTAATCTCAGCAGTGGATCCTGTTGGACTGGGAAACATTCTGCTGAATAGAATTGGCTGCACACACACATACAGGTACTGAGGCCCAAACACCACTTATACCCTCCTCCTCTTCCTCCTCCTCCTCCTCCCCAAGTGTTAATTAGCAGCCACTCAACCACAGACCCAGGCACTGACACACAGTCACAGACTGTACTGTATAGAAAAACACATCAATACAAAATCAATAAGAGTACGGTGTAGTCGACAACAGCAGAACAGTGACATCTACAAACCATGACAACAACGCACAATTGATCACGTTGTTTGACAAATATTTGTTTTTTTGTGGAAACTTTTTATCTTTAAAATCAAGAAGTATTAAAAATGAAGAGAATTAGAAACGGAGACAAAGACTGGATACTGCACCTGCTTTTATTTAATTTTTATGAATTTTTTTGATCCCACACAGTACTTCTCAAATACTGGGGCGGGCCCCCCCGGTGGGGTGCGGTGAGGTGCTGGGGGGAGAGGGGGAGGGGGTTGAGGGTCTTCCATTAGAATATGTCCAATGGACATCAGTGTACCACTGCTGTGATACCTGAATGTTAACCAGCCTCCAGTCACTAGGTGGCAGCAACTCGTACAGTGGTTTGAACAGATAAAAATATACATGTTATCAGGTTCTCAATAGTGTTTCAATTCACGGGGTGTGGGTCAGAGAGGGGGGGTTGCAAAAACATTTCTGTCCCCAAGGGGGGGCATGATAGAAAATAATTGAGAACCACTGCGTAAACAGCAGATCTGCTGTTACTACTGCCCCCTGGAGGCGCCATGTCTGTGGTTCCTCTGGGAATTGAACCCAGAACTTTCTACTTGTAAGGCACACATGCTAACAGTGGTCTGGGGCTCAGGCTGAGGTGGTTATGGTGGTTATTTGACATCAGCAAGTGGTGGAAGAGAAAACAGAGAGGACGACAGGAGAGAGTGAGCTCCGCTGCTGTCTTCAGGGGATTTGTGTCCACAGCCCGGGGTGTGTGTGTGTGTGTGTGTGTGTGTGTGGTGGACAGCTTGCTGCTGGATTGACAGAGTGACGTCAGCTCACCGCCACCTCTCCCTGATGGCAGGATTAGTGGCGAGCAGCAGAGACAGTGTTCCAGTAATCTCCCTCTAACAAATGGTCGGAGACACTCACGTTCACAGCTTCCATTACTGACTCCTCCTGGAGGTTAGGGTTAGGGGAGGCTAACCCTCCCCCCTCAGCCCACCTGGGATGATCCATGCAGCCCACCTGGGATGATCCATGCAGCCCAGGCGTGAACCTCCTCCTCCTCATGCCGCTGCAGCAGGACGATGGCAGCAGGTGAGGTGAAGAGTGAACTGCTCCTGTGTCAACAACTGCTGCAGCTGAATGACCAGGGTGGGTGGGTGGGTGACGGCACGAAGGAGTAGAAGAAGACTGGCTAACCCCCCCCCCCCCCCACACACACACACACCAGAGTGCTAGTTGTATATTTGTACTTGTACTTCTACTTAGGTGAACAGATGAAAACTAACTGTGTTTTAGTCACTGTGGAAATAGAAGAAAGAAGTCTTGATTTGATGATGGTTGTTGTTGTTGTTGCTGGTGTTGTTGCTGTTGTTGCTGCTGTTGCTGCTGTTGTTGTTTCTGGTGGTGTTGCTGTTGTTGTTGCTGGTGTTGTTGCTGTTGTTGTTTCTGGTGGTGTTGCTGTTGTTGTTGCTGCTGCTGCTGGTGGTGTTGTTGTCTATATTTGACTTTTCATTATGAATTCTTCAGCCCAGAACATCATCCCTCTGACGGAGCTGCTGACTACAGTACCAACAACAACATGATGATGATGATGATGAAGATGAAGATGAAGATGATGCAGTCTGAATTGGCAGCTGAGAGGAGAGACGTGTGTGAGGCAACACGTGCCTGGGGGGTTGGGGTCAGACCTGGGGGCCACCACAGGAAGCTGTTTTAATTGCTACTGGACCATTGTGAACAGTTCAGATTCATCGTCGCTGTGCGTCTTTACGCACTGATCTCCACGCGACTCTCTCTCTCTCTCTCCCCCTCTCCCTCTCCCTCCCTCTCTTTGCCCCCTTCCCCCTCCCTCTCCCACTCTCTTTGACTCTCTCTCGCATCCCGCAGTTGCCTCACCTGCACAGTGGAGGACGCGGTGCAGTTCCTCAGCGGACACTTTGTCGAGCGCCACGCAGTGCGCTCCCACCATGGGGGGAGAGTCCGACAGCGTAGCTCACAGTAACAGCCGGATCTAAACTCCACTCCAGCCGGTCATTCTTCTGTGACTCTGAGGCCACCTCTTGACAGCAGCGGAGAAGAGCAGACACCCGCACCCGCACCCGCACCCCCTCAGTCTTCACATGGACCGAGTGCCCTCGGCACTGGCAGCAAAAATGCGCCTGATCGCTCTAGTGTTTGCCGGTTTGACTCTCTGGGGCAAAGTGACTATTTGTGAGTGTATCGACTACAAAGCGGCAGAGTTCGATTATGACGACGAAGACAGAGCGGAGACCATTGACTACAAAGACCCCTGCAAAGCTGGTGAGTCCGGGGATGACTGTGTGTAAACACGGCTGTTTTTATTCGTCTCAGATGGCACGTGTGTGTGTGTGTGTGTGTGTGTAAGTGTGTGAGAGAGGGAGAGTTCCAGATGTTCCTCCTTCTCTGACCTATAAGTCACGGAACACGTGCAGCCTGTCAGTGTCTGTGTCTGTGTCTGTGTCTGTGGCTGTGTCGGTGTCTGTGTCTGTGTCTGTGTCCGTGTCTGTGTCAGTGGCTGTGTCTGTGTCAGTGTCTGTGTCTGTGTCCGTGTCTGTGTCAGTGTCTGTGTCCGTGTCTGTGTCAGTGTCAGTGTCAGTGTCTGTGTCTGTGTCAGTGTCAGTGTCGGTGTCAGTGTCTGTGTCTGTGGCTGTGTCGGTGTCTGTGTCAGTGTCTGTGTCCGTGTCTGTGTCAGTGTCTGTGTCGGTGTCTGTGTCAGTGTCTGTGTCAGTGTACTGCAGACCTGTGTGAAAATGATTAAATGTTTTGGAATTAAGGAACATCTTGACCAAAGTGATTCTCTCTCTCTCTCTCTCTCTCTCTCTCTCTCTCTCTCTCACTCACTTTCGTTTGTCTCTCTCTGTCATGCACATTTTAAGTGTCGGTCGTTAGTGTCAGTCGTTAGTGTTGGTCGTTAGTGTTGGTGGTTAGTGTTGGTTGATTGTGTTGGTCGTTAGTGTCGGTCGTTAGTGTCGGTCGTTAGTGTTGGTGGTTAGTGTCGGTTGATTGTGTTGGTCGTTAGTGTTGGTTGTTAGTGTTGGTTGATTGTGTTGGTTGATTGTGTTGGTCGTTAGTGTCGGTCGTTAGTGTTGGTGGTTAGTGTCGGTTGATTGTGTTGGTCGTTAGTGTTGGTCATTAGTGTTGGTTGATTGTGTTGGCCGTTAGTTGTTTCTTTAATATATTCACAATATGTGAATATATTCACATATTAAAGAAACAACCTGAAAACTTTAGAATACAAATACGTACGTTTTACCATCAGGTTGATAAAATAATTCATTGTATTCTACTGCAATACGCACTGCCGCAGTAAAAACAAAGGAAGAAGTATACATTAGTACTACAGTAGTGCCTCACTTCAACTCTATTTGGACTGTGTGAGGCTCCTGAAATTAAAAAATACAACTTTCATTTCAATTTATAAAAAAACAAACAAAAATTTGACAGTTCTATAATGAATCTAAGTTTGGTCCAATTAAGTGTAAACTCAGCATAAACTCAGCAGTGGAGAATATTCTATTCTAGATGACAAAAGTCAAAACTGAACAAATGACTGCATTATAATGCATGTAATGCATTAATTTGCATCTAATTTAGCTTCAAATAATAAAAAAAAGAAATGATGCACATCATCGTGACATACGAACAACTTTCATGCTAGGATTAGCCAACGCTCGCAGCAAACTATTGACTTCAGTAAAAAGGCATAAACAGTGAATGTTGGAGTGGAAGAGTCGGACACTTGACCTCAGAGTTCTGACTCAGTCCGTCAGGGAATAAATACAAGTAAACGTGCAAATAAACAACAGGTGCAGGCAGGAGGAAAAATGACAACAAGTTTGACTGGTTTATACCTCTGTCTGAGAATACGCTTCATTTTCCTGTCTTTGATGATAATCAGATTAAATGTAATTAAAAATCCAGGATATTTTATTTTGGCTGTGCAAACAATTTCTATAAATTCAGATTCCTGCTCACCTCATCAGCCTCACCTCCTCAGCCTCACCTCCTCACCTCCTCAGCCTCACACCTCCTCCCAGTGGGAAAATAAAATACAAAATTCAACAACTCCAGGTTGTGTTTTCCTTGTGGACACAACTCAAACTCTTAAAGTCATCAAATCACTTTTATCACCATCTGATTCAAAGACGTGCCAACACTCACACACACACACACTGTGTATGTGTGTGTGTGAGCAGCTCTTAAGATGTGAAAAGAAAGTCATTCCAGGCCTGACCCTGTGGCATCAGGCTGAGTGGCTGGTATTCCGCCTCCTGTTTTTGCTGGGAAAACACAGGGGGAATATTTGGCTGGCTGCTTATCTCCTCGGAGTCCTGCTCTGGTAGACAGGAGAACACACACTTCCAGGTCTTTGTGAAGTGATTTCCCCATGTGAACACTCACAGGCACACATTTGACACACACACACACACACAGCTCCCTCCATTCACCCGCGCTTATCTCTTCCTGGTTGTCTGCATCCTGCTGCTCAGCTGGAGATGACACACACGCGTGCACACACTTACACACTGGCAGGGACGTGCGTGCGGCTCCTACACTCCGTCAAGAGTCATTCATGCTTCCTCCCAAATCACTGTTCTTGTCAAATACTCACACACGGAGCCAAAGCTAAACAAACGTTGGTGTAGAGATGAAGCCGGGGGGCGACTTTCCTACAGTGACCCTACAGTGGAGGTTGACGGGTCCCTCTCTGCACTATTGTATCACTGCGGTTAGTAGTGGAGCTATATATATATATATATATATATATATATATACAGTATACTCTGTGTGCATACTGTATACAGTATATTTTGTGTGTACATATATATGTATATAATCCTTCTCTTATACCCTGACACTGTGTGGTGCTGTCTCCCTCTCTGGTTATTTTACCAATTTTTATAACAATAATATAAAATGTTTTCTTAATTATTATTATTTGATATGATCAATATATTTGTTTATATCTGTTTTATGAAAATAAGACTCAGGGGCCCAGAGACTCAGTGAGTCAGAGACTCAGAGACTCAGTGAGTCAGAGACTCAGAGACTCAGTGAGTCAGAGACTCAGTGGCTCAGTGACTCAGTTAGTTACTTCAGAAAATGCTTTAAAATAATTGAATGAACAGGGAAAAACAACAACTCATTTTGAGAAAAACAGTAGCAACAGGTTAGTTAGTTAGTTAGTTAGTTAGTTAGTTAGGGTTAGGGTTAACAGGACCAAATCTGACTAATAAATCACAGGATTGAAATACCTCCATCAGAATTGATTTTCTATTCGATGCCAGGACTTTAAAAACCGTTAGAAATATATTTGAAGGTCAGGTCAGTTATCCTGAGAGAGCTGAATAATGGACGTCATGATTCATCGTCCTTAATTCACTCAGTAATTAGTCCGTTGAAGTACACACTAAGTGCATTCCTAGCAGATGTAGGCCTGTGTGTAGGCCTGTGTGTCCGTGCCAACATTCCATGTATGTGTTCTCTGTTCTTTAAAGTCCGGGGGTGAGGCCTACGTGTCGTGACACTGAGCTGCAGCCGCAGTTCACCCCTTCCTCATCACTCAGTAGGAAGGAAACAGGAGCAGTGTGTGTGTGTTTGACACCGTGGACACAGCTTTGTGTGTGTGTGTGAATCGCGCCGCTCATATTATATTAAACAGGATTTTCCCGAGTGCAGCGCTGCTGCCACCGGGCTTCCGAAGTCTTCCTCAGGATTCCCTCCTCAGCACAAACTCTGCAGCTCCTGCCGAGCGCCAACTGTTTGTTTTGGACAGTCATTGTTCTGGAGCTGCAGAAGTGATGAGTCAGCGCTGCCGTTACTCATCACTCATTTATTAAAGATCTGAGAGCGGTAGCGCCACCTGGTCATTTTTTAAGATTTATTCAACAAAATGACTTTTACTGTCCTGGAAGAATCCTCTGAGTCTGAGATTATTGGGTTCTCACTTTTGGGGACCAGTTGAGGGAGCTGAAGTTCACATTGGGGTAGGACAGGGCATCTCAAAGTGTAGGATGGGCCGCCAGCTGGGGAACAGAGACATGACAGGTGGGTTATTTGATGGCATTGATTTTGATTCATTATAAAAACATGACGTTACTTGGTGTCAGGTCAATACATTTGATTTTTGTTGGGGCGACGGGGGGAGGTGTGGCTTGAAAATGACCTGTGCAGTTTGAGAACCACTGGTGTAGGACAGATGTCCTCAGCTGATCCAACCCCTCGCACCCTTGTCTGGCCAAAACCCATGACCTGCTGGAGAACAATCTCAGCTGTTCTGTTCTGTTCTGTTCTGTTCTGTTCTGTTCTCTTAGTTGTGTAGATTCCTTGTTTGTTGATGAGTTTTTCTCGTGTGTATTTTATAATTCTACACTTTATTAATAAAATTAGTACAAATTCTAAATCAACAAACAACAACAAATCTGACTCCAGATCAGCTTCTTTAGTTTTAGCTCAGACCTTGACACCTGGTGACTGCTTCAATACTAGTCACCGGACGCCTTTAACCCTTTAACTGCAGGTTGAAGACCTTCTACACAGAAACATGTTCTTCCAGTTCATCCATCCATCCATTTTCATCTGCTTATCCGTTACCGGATCGCGGGGGCAGCAGTCTCCATGACCGCCACCCAGATCACACTGCACCGTACCAGTCCCCCGTGAACCTTCCTGCAGGTGGTGAGTCCACTGGGAGGTACCAACCGCCCTAACCAGGATTAGATCTAACCCAGGAGGAAAAACCTGGGGTTCCACACCACTGACAGAGACATTGGCTCTGGACCAAAGCGCCACCTTCCAGTTTATATCTCTCACATATTGACACGGTGCTAACAGGCTTCAAAGAAAAACCTGCCAAAGGCTAAAATTGGCCCCTGTGTTCTAAAGATATGGATCGCTACAACTCTGCTGCCCGCTCTCTGCGAGAATAGAGGTTGTCTCTCAGTTGTGTGTTGTGCACGTTGCTCTCTAATTTATATATATATATATGTGTGTGTGTGTGTGTGTGTGTGTGTGTCAAGCTTTGCTGCAGTGCTCCGGCTGAAGGGCATATAGTCCTGGTCAGTGTCATACAAAACTCCTGGGACATCTCGGAGTTCTGGGATCAATATTCCTCCAACCTACGTAGGTGTCCTCACCCCTGCTCGCCCCTGCTCTCTCAACGGCCTGACTTTGGGCTATTTATGGTGCTATAATGGATTAACAAGACCCCAAGAATCAATGGGCAGACCTGACTAGGAATGTTCTTCCTCTTCTTCTCACTTTCTAGCTCTGCTGCGTCAGCTCTTCTTCTCTGGAAAACTTGCTCCCTGCATCCTCGCAAGGTATTACGTACATGCAGCTGGTTCAGTGTCCCGTCCACAAATAGAAAGTGAAGCTAAAAAGATGAGGAGTTTGTATTTTTTATTTACTTGGGAATGCAATACGCAATACCCAGACAAACCACTAGAGAATCGATGAAGCAGGGCGCCCTGGGTTCAATTCCCAGAGGAACCACTTGTCCCTAATGGCGCCTCCTGTGGTAGCCTCTGTCAGTTGCAAAAAAGACTCATACTGTAAATGCCCCTGTTGTGGGATGATAGGTGGCTGTGGTGACCTGAGGTGAAGGAGGTGTCCAGGAGGTGTCCAGGGTCAGGGTTAAGGTCACCCCAGGCTGTGGTGACCTGAGGTGAAGGAGGTGTCCAGGAGGTCACAGGGTTAAAGCTGCCGTCATTGTGTGCAGTGATATACTTTGTATCATGACATTTAGCAGACGCTTTTATCCAAAGCGACTTTTAATTTATTTATTATTTATTAAGTTTATGTTATTTAATACTGTGTTATTGGCTCAGTATCATGTGATTACCTGATACTGAGAGAACCCACGTTTTAATTAGAACCTGGAGTGTGTATTAATTGAACGTCAATGATTACTGATGTTACGTTTTCCTAATGATCACAAAAAGTTAACTAAACAACTAGAAAATATTTCTCTCAGGGTTCTCAAATGATTACTTTTATTATTTCCAATTGTTATTACGTTCATGAAACGAAATTCTTCACAGGATTTAAAGTTGAAGATCCACACAGAAGTCATGGGTTTATCTCACAGACATTTTGAACAAATGCATCAATGATTCACTTTTTCACACTAAAATAAAAGTATACCTGTATAAAGTATTTTAAATTTTTTTTTGATATGCTTTATTTTAATAAACAAAAACAAAGGTTTAATGTGGTTCAATCTGGTTCAAAGTTCATTTCTATAATCGATCCGTGTTAATGAATCCATTTCTGTTTCAGCTCTAGTTTGTCCAATCACACGATCCACTTCTTTAGAACAAGGCTTTACTGTTACGTTCAAGCAGTATTTCTTACTGTAGTAAAGAGGTCAAATCAACTGTTTGGTTCTCCGTCACACACTCGTACCATGATGTTAAGACCATGTGTCTTCATTGTCCTTTACCTCTGTCTCCCACACTGGTGTAAAGCTGAGCACAATGGCATCCTGACCCTCGGTTTCCTTTAGTGACAATTCTAATTAGTTAAGTGACAATCCCCTCTCCCCCTCTCCCCTCCCTCCCCCATACCATTGTGAATGTATCAGCGTCCCCTGTCCCCGTGGAGGGCCGTAACTCCAGCAAGCTAATCACTGGATGATAATCAGCCAGTTGTTCATTGTTACTGTACGGTAACAATGTGGGTGGGGGGAAGGGGGGTTATGGCAGGAGAAGGAAACACTGCAGAACATCAGATCTGAATTGTAAGATCTGAGAGTTCAGATACGGTGGATGTAAAGTTTACAAACGTCAAAAGTGGTCTTTTATTTGGATGGTTTTTTTTCCAGTACAATCCCAGATCCCAGATTAACTTCATTATTTCTGTATAATTATAATAATAACCCTAACCCTAACCCAACCTGATTGGGAGATGAATCAATGAACCATTTATAGAGTTTCAAATGAAGCTCCATATGAACTGCTTAAAAATGTATTTCAGTATTCCACCTTCAAAACTTTGTCACAAATTTCTTGCAGTACCACCAAAGAGCCTCAAGGTGAAGTGGGTGCCCTGGAGTAGAAAAATAATGTTTACATTTTTGCTTCTCACCCCCTAATCCAGACAAATGTAGAGATCAAGAAATCCTGTTAAAAACATCAGAAGAAAAGATATTTTAATTGGATTTTTCCAGCTCTGTTTTTGCTTCTTTCTACTCAGGATGGGATTCAGTGTCTGTGTTTATTCCTAAAACTTGATTGATGTGATGTTTCTTCTTATTTGTAGCTGTGTTCTGGGGAGACATCGCTTTAGACGAAGAGGACCTGAGAATGTTCCAGATCAACAGGACCACAGACCTCACACGGCACACACACATTCACACAAACTCCAGACGAGGCCACATGTCAGGTGAGTGGACCCGACATCTCTGCCCCCCTCTGTTCCTCTGCCCCACAGCTTTTGTCGCATGAACTTCTGGCCTTTGAGCTAACGGTGTGTGTGTGTGTTGTTGTTAGGTGGCCTTGATGAACATGAGCTTGTAAAGAAGAAAGGTTCCTTGTACCTGCTGCTGGACAGAATACACAGATTTGGTTTAGGTGAGGTCACGCTCCAGTGTCAGAGAGAAAAACCTTCATCCAGTTGAAGGTGATGTCTTTTACCCAGACCTTTAGACCAATCCTGAAACTTCAATAATAAGAATTATTTCCACACACATGACAGTGTGTGTGGAAATAATTCTTATTATTGAAGTGTTTGTTGAAAATTCAATTCAGTTCATGTAAGACAGACATTTTTACATTTTCTGTTCTAGATTTTCTCCCTCAGGTTAGTAAAGCAGATGCCAGTCCTCAGAGCCAAAAAGGTGTAGTGACGGGGACTGTCCTGAAGAGGCGTGTTCCTCGAGCAGCCACGTCCCGATCTGAGAGGATTTGGCCTGGAGGAGTCATTCCCTATGTCATTGGAGGAAACTTCACTGGTACGCAGCTGCAGTGAATACACACTGTCTGTGACTGTGTGGGTGGCAGATGTTAAACGTGTGTGTGTGTGTGTGTGTGTGTGTTCCAGTGAGTCAGAGGGCCATGTTCAAGCAGGCCATGCGTCATTGGGAGAAACAGACGTGTGTCACATTCATTGAGAAAAGCGATGAGGAGAGTTACATAGTGTTCACCTACAGACCCTGTGGGTGAGTTAGTGTGTGTGTGTGTGTGTGTGTGTGTTTACTATTGACCTTGTCACAGTGAGAGACGTGTGCTAACCCAACAATGGCTCCGCCTTCCTTCCTGTCCTGCTCCTGTTTCTCTGTTCTGCCAATCACGTCGGTATGTTCCTGCAGCTTTTTCATCTTCATGCTACACTGGAGCGCTCGCACTGGTGTGTGTGCGTGTGTGTGTGTGGGGGGGGGGTGTGTTTGTACAGTGTGTTTGTACAGTGCTGACATTTTACTGGTTGTGTTTTGTAAAACGTTCTGTATGTGAATAGATCAGAACGACCTGGAGGAATGTTCTGCCACCAGAGGGAGCCGTGACTGCAGTACAATCAGTTCATTAGAACTAATTAATTCATATACTTTATATAATAATAGATGTCATTTTGCTAATTGAGTAATAAGCTCATAAAAATCAGCATTTTTAAGCAGCATCTACTGATGGTCGCTCTGATTTATACACAGCAGGAAATGTTTTCATTTCACTGAAGCAACTCAAGAATAAAATACCATCTGACGGTCTGTTTGTAGGCTCTTCACCTTCAGGTCTGTGTCAGACCAACTTCACAGACTGTCGGAGACTGATGTTTCACTGACTTTTTCATTTGTTTCAAGTGGTTTTCAGGAATCAAATCCATTAAGACTTTTCACAGACTTGGTTTTACTTCATACGTTTGTTTCTCTGCTCCTCCTGCTCCGTCTTCTCCCTCCATTTCCCTGTCATCCACTTTCTGTTAATTACAATTAAGGTGTTGTTCCTATGTGGGTCGTCGTGGCAACGGGCCCCAGGCCATCTCCATTGGTAAAAACTGTGACAAGTTTGGCATTGTGGTCCACGAACTGGGCCACGTCATTGGCTTCTGGCATGAGCACACGAGGCCTGACCGTGATGATCATGTGACCATCATCCGTGATAACATCCAACCAGGTGAGATTATGTTTGAACTGACAACTACGTCGGTCTGACACAGTTCCTCTGTTCTCAGATACAGTTCCATATCAGGCCACGTCTGTCCACACCCACCCATGTCTCTGTCCACACCCACCCATGTCTCTGTCCACAACCACTCATGTCTCTGTCCATACCCACTCACCCATGTCTCTGTCCACAACCACTCATGTCTCTGTCCACACCCACAGTTTCTGACAGTTTGTTTTGATCAAAGTTCATTGGAAGACAGAGCGACGACGTCTCCATCATCACTGGACTGTGAGTGGATGAAGCTCAACCTTCTGTTTCCTTCATCACAGGCCAAGAGTATAACTTCCTGAAGATGGAACCAGGAGAAGTCAACTCTCTTGGAGAGCCGTACGATTTTGACAGCATCATGCACTACGCCAGGAACACCTTCTCCCGGTAAACAGCTGCTCAGTTTCATCCGTTTGAGATTCTGTAAATGATGGGTCTGTGACTGCAGTGCTATGAAGCTGTTGGTTTGATTTGATTTGATTTAAATTTCACCTTGTAACAATAAGCTGCTGTATGTGCACTTCCCTCTCCTCTCCTGCAGAGGGATGTTCCTGGACACCATCCTTCCATCCAAGGATGTAAACGGGGTCCGACCTGCCATAGGCCAACGGAGCAGACTCAGTAAAGGAGACGTTGCTCAGGCCAGGAAGCTGTATAGATGTCCAGGTACTGAGACTACACTCTGATAGAAGTGTGTGTTTGAAAAAAACCTCTGTCTCTGCTCTCAGATTTGGTGTAAAAACGTGTTTATTTGTTGTCGTTGTTGTTGTTGTAATCTCTATTTTATATCATCCTAATATTTTATTTTAACACTGTAGTCTTTAACTGTAAAGGGTCATTTAAGAGTGAGATGAACAGAGCCCCACGGCATTTTGGGGGTGGGAAATGGTATGCATCAATGATGGGGTGGGAGGGGGCAGTTGGCTGACCTTCTTATAAGAAGGAACGATGCGTTTAATGTCCATGTGTAGGACATACCAGTACTGACATACATGTCACTACAGACACAGCGGCTGTGTTCTGCTTACTGACAGAACAGTCAGAAACACAAAACAACTGGGATGTTTTTGGGGGATCATTTTAAATCAGAGACTTTTCCCATTCAAATCCATTTCTTTATCAGACAGCAGAGAAAAAAAAGTTTTTTTTCTTGATAAATTGTTAGTAATGTGTTTGTTTTTTTTTGGTAAATTGGAAGCAGAAACAGAGGCTTTGGTCAAGACACAAGTGAAGTCATCTGGGCTCCGTTTCTTGAAGCTGGCTCACGAAACACCCAGTTAAAGCCACAGCTCTGGCTTCATGAAGCTGAAGAAGTCCAACTTTGACTTTCCGGTTTCACAAAAGCAGATTACAATTAGCTCTGGTAAGTCTGAGTTAAGTTCAGTCTGAGTGGCGCTCGTGCCCGACTTCATATGAAGGCTCCCTCAGTGGAGCACAGATCGCACCAACCACGTCACGTCCTCCACCTTTTACTGTTGAACGACTGTAACGATGACGACACGCTGTCAAATAAAAAGGACAACAGCGCCACAGCCGAGGACGACGGAAAAAACTTGGTAAAAGATGACAGAGTGAAGGAGTGAGTATTGATGAGAGAGTTATTGATCCTCGTTCATCACAGATATATATATACTGTAACAGCATCAACATATGTCTGTGTCTGTGTCAACACACCTGACAGGTTTTAGGTTTAGTCCAGGTTTAATCCAACAGGGATGAAAAGGACCAGGCAGCAAAAAAATTTAACTCCTGATTTAAATCCTGTCTGTATTTGTTCGTCAGTCTCTTCGCTGACGTGTTGCTGTAGTGACGGACCAACGTCAAACTAACACGAACACTGCTGGAGATCAACACCAAGGCTCCGCCCACATCGACACACCGTTACCTCCAATACGTTCTCAGCATCACCGACGTCATAAAGGAAACGACCGTTGGTAAAAAACGTGCAATACAAAGTATTTCCTCCAAGCTTAGAGCACGACTACGATGAGTTTAACGAACGAAATCTGGGCTGAGAATCGAAATTCAGTTATGTAATAGATAGTAAAAAAAAATGCAAACACTCGAACGCTCGCAGTTCTAAAATATCCAGTCGTGGTCTCAGGATTCTCTCCTGACGTCAGTTTCTTCTCACCAACTGAGCTGTGACGTCACAGACTCCTCAACAAACGGCCACGCCCTGTATATTGATTACTGACTCACTCCTTAACTCAGACTTAAGGACCTTAAAACTGCTACGGAGCAGGTTTGATCTACGGAGTATGTTGCCATAGCAACCGAGTCAGCGTCACGGTCTTGTCGGCTTTGTGAAACGGGAAACTCAGAGTTCCCTCTTATACGGAGTTAACTAACTCTGAGTTAGTTAACTCTGAGCTTCAAGAACCGGATCCCAAAGTTCACAGGACTGTAAAGATCTAACTGTCTGTTTGTGTGTGTCTGTGTGTGTGTGTGTGTGTGTGTGTGTGTGTGTGTACTAACAGCATGTGGAGAGACGCTCCAAGAATCAGTGGGTAACTTCTCGTCTCCTGGTTACCCCAACGGTTACCCCTCGTACACACACTGTGTCTGGAGGATCTCTGTCACACCTGGAGAAAAGGTATTTGAAAAAAAGATCAGGAATAAGAAATGGATGCAAAAGGAAAATGTCAGAGCTGGAAGGGTTTGGATTGTGGTAGAATAAAAAAGCATGTTGGTGGAGTGGAGGTCTCTGTCAGTGGAGGTCTCTGACAGTGGAGGTCTCTGACAGTGGAGGTCTCTGTCAGTGGAGGTCTCTGTCAGTGGAGGTCTCTGTCAGTGGAGGTTTCTGTCAGTGGTCTGTCAGTGGAGGCAGAAAAAGGGTACATTTGAACAAGCCCCAAAAAGAGAAAAAAAACCAGACCCACA